CTCCCTCCCTCCCTCTTTCCTTCCCTCCCTCCCTCTCTCCCTCTCCCTCCCCCCATCTCCCCCTCCGTCTCCCCCCGCAGGCAGACAGGGATGGGGCTGGGGGGCAGCATGGCTCGTGTGGGCAGCATGGTGGCCCCACTGGTGCGGATGGGGGCCGACGTGGCCCCCCTGCTGCCCCCCCTGGTCTATGGGGCAGCCCCCATCGTGGCGGCCATCGCTGCTCTTTTCCTCCCCGAAACGCGCAACGCTCCGCTGCCCGAAACCGTGGAGGACGTGGAGAGGCGGTGAGGGACCCCAGACCCCAAAATTCACCTTTCTGACCCCAAAACGATGAGGCCGGGGTTGGACCCGCTCCTCCAGTGGGGGAGACGGGGGAATGGGGCGGAGGGAGGGGGGTTCTGGCGTGGGGGTTTTTGGGGTGAGAATGAGAGATTTTGGGGTGAGGAGTGAAGGTTCTGGGTAAGAAGTGAAGGTTTTGGGGTAAGAACTGAAAGTTTTGGGTAAGAACTGGAGGTTTTGGGGTAAGATCTGAAGGTTTTGGGTAAGAAGTGAATGTTTTGGGTAAGAACTGAAGGCTTTGGGTAAGAACTGAAGATTTGGGGGTAAGAACTGAGGGATTTGGGTAAAAAATAAAGAGTTTTTTAAGAACTGAAGGTTTTGGGTAAGAACGGAAGGATTTGGGGTAAGAACTGAAGGATTTGGGTAAGAACTGAAGGTTTTGGGTAAGAACTGAAGGTTTTGGGTAAGAACAGAAGAATTTGGGGATGAAGAATGAAGGTTTTGGGGGAAGAACTGAAGGTTTGGGGTAAGAAATGAAGGAATTTTATACGAACTGAAGGAGTTTTTTAAGAACTGAAGGGTTTTGGGGTAAGAACTGAAGGATTTGGGTAGAACTGAAAGTTTGGGGTTGAAAAGTGAAGGATTTGGGGTAAGAACTGAAGAGTTTGGGGGTGAAGAATGAAGATTTGGGGTAAGAACTGAAGGTTTTGGGTAAGAAATGAAGGATTTGGGGTAGGATCTGAAGGTTAGGGGGTAAGAAGGAAGGATTTGGGGTAAGAACAGAAGAATTTGGGGTAAGAACAGAAGGATTTGGGGTAAAAACTGAAGGTTTTGGGTAAGAACAGAAGAATTTGGGGTCTCCCCACAGCGGGGGCCACCTGAAGGACGACGAGGTCACCGTCCCACTGAGTGTCACCAGGACCCAGGACAGCGCCTGAGGGGTCACGGTGGGGTCACTTCCGGGGTCATGACCCCGGAAGTGCCCCCCCCGCCCCCCAACCCCCCACCCCCAAATCCTATTTATTTCTCCCAATAAAAGCTTTGCCCCAATTGGGGCAGTTTTGGCCCCGGGTTTCATTCATTCCCCATAGAGGGAAAATGGGTGGTAAGAAAGCAACACCAAAACGGGCGTTTTTAGCCCCAAAAAGAAGGCGGGACAAAACCAACATGAGGATCCAAACCCCTCAGCTTCAGCCCAGATGGAAAACCCTAAAAACGGGCTTTTTCACCCCAAAAATGAGTACAGAAAACCTTCAGTTTCAGCTCAGATGGAAAAAGCCTAAAAAAGGGCTTTTCCACCCCAAAAATGAGTGCAGAAAACCTTCGGTTTCAGCCCAGGAGCAAAACCCTAAAAGACCTCTTTTCACCCCAAAATGAGGGCCCCAAAATCCTTACTTTCAACACAGAAGTAAAACCCTAAAAGGGCTCTTTTCACCCCAAAAATATGATGGTTTTCAGCCAATTTCGCTCAATTTTGGCCCAAACGAAAAGCCCTAAAAGAGGTTTTTTTCATCCCAAAAACGACAGCGGCAAACTCCCCAATACCAGCCCCCCAAAATCCCCATCTTATCGAGTAAATTGAGGGTTTTCACCCCAAAATTACTTCAGTCCCCCCCCCCGCCCCCATCCCACTCCACCGCTGCCCCAAAATCCCGTTTTTTTACCCCAAAACGCCTCAACCCCACCTTTTTTTGTATCCGTTTTTATTACGAAAACGAGCGATTTTGGTGTCATCTTTGTGTGTTTTTCCTGGATAAGACACAGCCGTGAAGCTTTGCCAAAGGGGGGGGAGAGAAAAAAATGGGGCAAAATCCATCAGATTTGGGACTTTTCAATGTCAAGAGGCCTAAAATGGGGGAAAACGGCCCATTTT